TGTAACCGGTTCAAGTATAATGATGTGACATGTATTGATACTGAAAAATCTAGATAGTTTTTGTTATATTTCCGTTGCTAAATCTCTATTAGGAAATACAGCGGCTTGCCAATACACTGGATAATTTTTTTTTAAAAGATGGATGGCGTATATCATGATGATCTACAATGTCCTGCTATTGACAATGTACCATCTCAAACGAAGGTGACCTGATTATACGAGATATGTGGCCAAGATTTTCTGCTAGTCATCTTTTTATATCCCGGTCGAAACAATCCACAAGAACAAACCAAATCAGCTGACAAGTACACTGCACTAAACAGTCAAAGTAGATTGAAGAAGAATATTATATGGATGGTGTCAGGTGAGAAACGAGTGATCACATTCTGCTCTGCATATCAAAATAATGGTATGAACGAATTACGATTTAGATGATGACCTACACTCGTAAGTTACTGTTTCCAGTTTGTCATTGTCACACAGCACATATGTGGCAATATAGTATTCTTTTACAGATATTGCATAATTCGTCAGACTATTTAATGAGTATTTATAAATGTATTACACTCAACCGCACTTGATATTTTATTTGAATATTTTAAGCTATATTTTTAAGTTTTTGAATTGTTCACTTGAAATTCTGGCACATGACTGTAGCGCTTCAAATGTTGTATATCGATTCGTCAAAAACAGCGAGCAAAACACAAACTCGCGACTTGCGTGTAGTGCATTTAAATACTGTTTGTGGTTTTAAGGGCTACTTCGCATAATAGTTATTAAACAAAATGTATTCAACATTTTTTCCCCAATATTCAATGTCAGAGCTACATGTTGGTAATAATTCTCCACGACTTAAGAAGATGCGCTAACATTACGTTTTGACATTATGTTAAAGCGGGAGGGTCGTCACCTGCGCACGCGCGGGAATTGAGTCCAAGCGACGATAACAGCACACGGTAAAACGCAAAAGCTCATGGCTAGACGCTTGTTTATAAACAATAACACGCTATGGCCAGATGTATTATGAATATTATAAAGCAAAAGAAAATAATACAGATATATTGTGTTGCATCCAATTGCATATATCATGCATACACTGTTCTACTGGTATGACTGAGTAGTGTTATTTATTTCACAGTCAGTCGTTTAGTGTCGTACTATATGATGTGCGTATACAATTCTACGGTTGAGTATGTTTTCTCACTTAATAAGCCTTCTCGCTGGATTACTATAAATTACATAATGTGCGCCACCAGCAGCTGAATCAGTAACGGATTTCACACTTACCACGTAATACGGGGACATCAATACAATCACGTATACAGTACACAATAAATATAATACATCTGTCCCCAATTGTTATTTTCAATTTACAACTACTGCTAACATAGAAAGCAAATCACAGAAATAACATTAAATACACGACATGGTATAGGATGAATCACTATGCAGGATCTTCTGCGATATGTTTTGCCCGATATAAATTTCGTCAAAGGACTTTATCTGATGATCGGGATGCTGACTAAAACCTTGCATAATTTTTTCTAAACAAAAGTTCTCGTTTGCAAATGAAACACATTATGTGTATGTACACATCGCGAGTGTTTTGAAATTTATTTCACAGTTAGCGGATGCCTTTATTCCACCCGTGAAGTATCGAATAGTAGTTTATTTGCACGATTGGTGCCAGGTACATTCGTTATAACTTATAACTTTTAATCAGAAAGCCAATATCGGCTAATTGAGAAGATTGTATTACTAACTTAAAACTTTGATTGTATTTCTGTGGTAGTGGTATGTATGCAAGTTGGGTATCCTCAAAGATTTCTACTACATGCTTTTCGTGCACATTCCAACTCAGTGGGGACACTGCCCAACCAAGTACAATGTATATTATATAGTTAGTACACATATAACCAAGTACACATAATTGATGATACAAGAGACGCATTTACCGTATGACAATTCAACATTTAATTTAACAAATCCACGTGGTTCGAACACGTTCGTAACGTTCATCACATTTACAGTATATGCTCTCACTCTCGACCATCAGCCAATACACTTATAATAATAATAGAAAAATCAACAATAGAAATGTAATCGTGCACCGTGTTCAGTGAACTTATTACATCCATTATACATGCTTTCTAAAAATATATAACATAAATACAAAGAAGTTCATAAATTGGTATTGTGATTGGGACGTCGAGTTTATAAATTATCTCAGATAAGACCGTATATGAGTATGTCTGGGAATAGGGAACATACTTACGGTTTTCATGACAACCGACACAGATACCTTTCAATATATAATAGATTGGTTCTTGTCTCAAAGAAATTCGCATGATAATTGTTAACAACATGGATACTAAACATTTAAAAATGTAATATTCAAACCAATATAAAGTATATAACAAATAATCATAGAAGGCTGAAAGCTATGCTAGGTAATGATATGAGGTTATTACAAGGATACCGAACAGTATACACGAAGACAGTACAGCGGGAGTATCGACCGACGCGCAACAGAGGTCGATGCGGCGGCGTACTGTCTTGTTATTATACATCTTGTACTCCGAATAATACATAATGGAAAAGCCGACATTCAAAACGTTTACAACAGAATCAGCGAAATTGCTTGTGTGGAGTCCGGTCAAACCCTTGTTGCAGCCATGTTTGTTTTTATTATTCGAGGACCCTTAGGCGCGTAATCATTCCATACTTGGAATTCACATTAATAATTTTCCTAATATGGTGGGATGAAAATACCCGTTAAGTACCAAACAATTACGGCACGCTGTAGCTTATGGCGTTATGATAACATATGTATAATAATAACAAGTACTGAACAATACTTATGAGAATTCAACCCTGATTCAATATGTTTACATACACAACAGTCAATTCATAAAACTGAAACAAAAGAGAAGTTCTATAGTACACAATATTTAAATTCATAAAAATCAAAGAACAACAACACGCAACAATGGATTGACCACATCAAAATCAACTTAATACAGAATTTAATACGAGTAGCAAGGTATTATATTGGATTATATGATAACAATCTTCAACAAAACAGTTTCTAAGTTTGAGAAGCAATCAGTCGTTTCATATACATGTGAATGAAGCTGAGTATCTGTAATAAACTAATATTTGGGTATTCCTACATTGTAGCCGTTATTGTAGCACATGATCAGGTTTTGCTATGTAATTAGCACATGCGTATTTGTTTGTTTTTTTTTTGGGGGGGGGGGGGTCTGTCAGCGCTTTCATATAATGATTATTTTGATCATCGTGTATTTGCACCCGAAAACATAAACATGATAATTCATTATATGACACATCTAGTAACACAAGTAAAGATTTGTTTATATTATCAACTTACAGCATACACTAAGGAGTTTGTCATATTTTAGTTAAGAATATCTACCTTTCACTATCGAAGTATATATAGCTAGTTGAATGACTAGTCACAATTCAATCCTGTGTGAAATATTACATACCGAACACCATTGCTATACTTATGAAAGTACTGTTAACATAGATTATATACTTTTTGTGATGTTTCAACTAGCAGGAAAAATATATTTATGTATATTTAAATATAAATTTTAGATTGAACATGATAATATGATTTACGTAAAAAAAAATCTTTCAACTTTTGGAAAGATATCACGAATTCATAACCCCTCGTTGAGTCAACTGATTGTTAGGTATCCATCTCGCACCTAAGCTCAAAAAAAATAATCACAGCAAGGTTTCATACATAGTGCTCGTACCAAATATTTGAATCATCTTGACATTTGACTTCAAAAAATCTAATCCAGAGAAAAAAGTAGAACAATGAACAAAGCAAGTGGTCTCACACTAAGTGGAAAACCAAAAAAAGTGTCGGATTTACACGAATTGTATATAATGAATTAAAAAATAAAGCCGTTTAAAATCTTTTACTCAGTAAATCCGTATATTATTCGCTAATATCAACATCATTTATAATAACCTGTCCACGATAACATATAAATTACAGAATAAACAAAATGAACAACAAATTTGAAAACAAGAAAACACACTCAATTTCCGAGATGAACTACTAACTCTCGTTTTATCTATAAATAAGAAAGATTATATCAACAAAATAAAACAGCGCAAAACAACATTAAATTACAATTTCAGGTATTGCTAAAACTGACAGTCAAAAGTAGAGTTTTACAAGTTGACAAAACACCCCAAATATATTTCTTTAAAAAGTAAACTTATAATTTCAGTCCAATATCACATACATGATATTTATTGACATGTAATTGTCAAAGGCACATAACGAATATAATTATTTTCTGAACTGGATTCCACAGAGCCGAAGCATTATTCTCTCACTAAATAATAGAAAACAAATATATACACTGCTCAACATACATTATAAGCTTCGCAAATTTACATATTAATTAAAATTAAATAGAAAGTTTAATTGTTACATATTAGAGCTTTTGATCTGTGTCGAAAAATTATGATACATTTTTCCTTCAAACATAGAATGTATCGTTTGCTGGAGCTGTTATACGTGCTACCGCGAGCAAGAATTTCCCAATGTATTTCATATTCAATATCTATTTCTTTGAGTGTCCAGACGTGTTTGCGTAGTTCTGTCGCATTTCTGGAGGCCTGATTGCGAGATGAGGGCGTGTGGTTTCTGTACCTGGTTTTGAATTCATTACCAGTAAGTCCAATTTTTAGACCCCACCACTCCACACTAAACAAAAGAAATGAACTCGTGTCATCATGCCGACACAGATCAAAAGCTCTAATATGTAACAATTAAACTTTCTATTTAATTTTAATTTAATATGTTAATTTGCGAAGCTTAATATAATGTATGCTCTTTGTGCAGTGAATTAATAAATATAAAGCCCCTGATGAGTGAGGTACTTGTACCTTACGAAACAGTGCTATCGTTAATACCTTAAAACGTGTATATCAGGCGTTTCCATGCACTAGACTCAAATCGCTAAGGTTTTTATGGTTCTGCAGCTGCTACTTGCTGTTGGCGTTTTTCTAGATGACGATCTCCATGATGGAATTGCATTTCTTGGTGATGTCAGATGCGAGACACAGTCCATGCCACCACGCCGACAGAGTGTACAGAAGTTTCTCAGGTCTGCCTGGAGAAAAAGAAAATCAGCGTAATTTTTAATTTTAAAATTGCTGTCTTGTCAAGGCTAATTTGTGCTGAAAGGATTACTGTTATCACGAGTGAGTTGAGAGAACATGAAATGCTAGCTGACATGCGTCATGAAAGTTTCATGGGCGTACTGAAATTTGTGAAACATCCATCAAATGCCGCCTTATTAGTTTTAACGAGTTCTACTCATCAACAGACGACCTGATCCGATTACAATATACACCCTGAATAATTTTCTGAAATATTACTACTCGTAAAGATATAGTATAATTGATGATCAATTGCACATCCTAAATCGATCTGTCACTTACTAAAATTTATTACATTTCGGAAAAAACACAACGAAAATGTCGCATTTGTGTTGTTTTATAACTCTTCTATGTTTTAGGTATCTGTCATCGATATTACTTCAGTAATGACTATATTGTATTGGTTGCATTTACGACATCGAATAAAGATTTACAAATTAGTGGGAAATGTTATTAACTACACCGCATGAGCGCTGCCCCTTCTGAAAACATACTCTTAATAATAATAATTAGTAGCTATATGTGTTCTAATTTCTCACGATTAGTTTTATATCAACACACCGCAACGTTTTCAACGTAAAGCAGTAGTGCAAATCAAGCCGTGGTTTGAGGTGTATTGCGCAAGCCTTTCGCAAAGTTGTGCGACATATTAAAATATGCCGTCCTGTCAGTTTGATACTTTCCCTTATCGTACGAGTTAAGCAAATATTCATCCAGTGAAATAATCGGTAGCTGGTAACATTACGTACTTATAAAAACGTCATATACATGTTCGCGTTGGTTTTAGATTAGTTTTCCGAAAAGAATGGTTACGTATATAGTTTATCAATCATATGTTTTTATAAAAGGTGAAACATTATTATGGTTTCTTTTTTCACAACAGTACTAGGCCACGATTGTTAATATACTACTGTAGTACCATGGCACACACGTAGGTGGACAATCACACACCATTACATCTAGGCATACACACTAATACTTGCATACACAATTAAAAACTCAATAAAATTGAATAATTAAAAACTATAATGAACGTCTAAATCATTTTACGTGAAAAACATGGCTATTACGTCGAAGTGTATATATGTCAACAAGTATAATGTACTATGAATGCCACGATACATATTATATAATAATGCAAAGAGTCGCCCTCACAAAGCCCTCATGCAAAGATTGCATGGTTTAATTGTGACGGAGATGATGTTTTCGGGAGGAGACGAGCATTCTTTGAATTACCCGGTAGGCTCTTTGAAAAAAAATAGCTGACAAGTTTAGGAATGACAAATCTACTGTTCGTCGAATCTGGAATCCATCGATGACGTATCAAGAAATCATAGGTCAGTTATTTCCAGATAGATGATATTCATGTCGGTAGCTTTGGTTGTGCCGTTTGTGAAAAACTTGATGGAGGGCCGTGGGCAAACAAAAAGATGACAATTCTCATTCAGCGAGATTTAAAGATTATAATATGCAATATACGCAGGCGTTTATATTTACATACGAACAATCCTGCTGCATTGAAGTTCATAGGTGAGTATGGAGTGAAAATTAACACGGGCAGTCCATTTATGGACATTAAAAGGAGAAGTCCGGTGCGTTGAAATCGGTCGTTATATTGTGGGACCGAATTCCGCTCGCAATTTTATAGTTGGTCTGAATACCTCTATGTATGCATCCGTAATTCCTGGTCCATCAAATGCAAACCAATTTGTTAATTTTTCTCTGAAGCGACGTCACTGTCGATTGCAAACTATTGTTAACACAAGGATATACAGTTGTTGTGAACAATGTCCCGATTCACCACCCCGAGGCAGAAAAGTTGCTTTTTAATTTACTAGAATATTTTGGCATTGAATTAGTTCACCTTCCAACTTATTATCTCGATTTTAATCCTGCTAAAAACTGCTTTAACAACTTGAACATCACACTTTAAGCGTGACTACTTTGGGGAATTATTGCACGAAAACTTACCTGTTGTATATGACGCACTTTCTAAAATAACACCACATGATACTTACGAATTCTTTAATGCATCTGGCTACATAAATATGAATCTTATTTTAAAGATTTTCAAATTAACGCAGCTTTGCAACTCAAACTATCTAAACTCTTTTTTGTTAGAAGTATGTTAATTTGTATGTGTGTATAAGTTTATACACTAAAATATTTTTATTTGAAATATTCGATGCAAAGTAATTACTTCTATGATTTAACTTATACATTTTTATGATCAACGATTCTATGGACAGAGAATTCTACATTATTTGTATCAACTTCGATGGCTACTTAGCTGTAACTACATTAATGTATTTACATTAAGGTTGTTACAATATAATAACGTAATGTCACAGCTACGTGGGGTAAGGTAACTTGATTGAATTCCGTTGTAAACACATTAGCAATTTGTATTTGGATTATAGTCAAAAACAGCGAAATGAAGATTATTTAGTATTTTTGCTGGTTTGATTAGTTGACTGTTCAATCAGAATCTTGGAACATACACATATGCTAATATTTCTAATAATACAAGGCTAAATTAAAAAAATATCTTTATATTTTAATAACCAGACACTTTTTATTCTGTCTTACAAATAAACAAGAACAATTTCATTTCAAGCGCTCAACTACAATATGGCATTACATAACTTTAATGTTATTTCACACTTCTCATAACTGCTTTATCTTTTTGTTTATATTTATTTTTGTGATTTATTGACTACGTATTCTGTTCGTAGTTCTTTTGCTTTTATGAACTTGTATACATTTCCCACGCGACTTTATAATGATCTACGTTTTAGATTTTATTTTATTTAATTTTTTTGAAAAATTAAAGTATTTCCATAAGCAACATAATAAAGTCAAACATATATCAGTAATATAACCAACAAAATACATTCATATTGGAATTATAAAGCTTCTAAAGAAAACAGAATTCAATCATACTTACTCGAAATCCTTCATGACAAATGGTATAAATGAAAGGGTTGATAAAGCTGTTCGCCATCGCAAGCCAATGTGAGAACAGATAAACACCGATGGCGATAGAACGGACGCTAGGATCTTCTAGAATTGTATTATGGAACATAGTAGTCAGAATAAAACAATGCAGTGGTAACCAGCATAATGCAAATAATATTACGATCGCCATTAACATCTTTGTAACCTGAACAAACAATATGAAAAAAAACATATTTATAAGAACCATTTTAACTGTTATTATCATTCACAAATGAAACCCACATATTAGTTCAGAAATTATCAAGACCTTTTGACATTAAACAATTATGCGTATTTAAGCAAAAATTACCAAAAAAAAAAAAATAGAAAAAATACAGAAAAAACAGAAAAAAATGTTGTATCAACATTGGATGGGTAAAAACATATCAGATGATGATGATACATGAATAAATTTCTTTCAGATCTTTTCCCCACTATCAATGGAATTTTTTTTTCATAATTATGTTTGTTCGTGTAAACTACTGTAAATATAGAAAAAGGTATATCTGATGAGCGAAAATTAATTCCACGGGAAAATAAAGTATTCCACAGTACGTAGTATATAGCAAATACGTTATTATTAAATTCCTAATAACTTGTGTCCTACCGATTATTAATTTGCTATACCGAGTCAATGCACTATGGATTCGTACTTACTTTTAGTTTTGACTGGGAATGTCGATGGTCACGTAGTTTGTCGCCATTTCCGGGTATTTGCCTCGCCCAAAGAACCTTCACCACAGCTGAATATGTTGCAGATAATATTATAAGTGGAATGACGTAAGTTGAAACAATAACGAATACTTCATAGGCACTCTGTTGCACAGGGTCATTCCATCGTTCGTCGCAATCATATATAATCTCGCCTGTATTCATGGGGTATGCCTTGGTTCTGGCAGTGACAAGTTGGAATATGCCGAGTAGACATGATACCAGCCATATTAATGATATTACAAGAATTGGCTTCGAGGATGGTTTCCTGTTTCGCATAGGTTGTACTACTGCTAGATATCTGTCGATGCCGATCACTGTTAGGGTACATATACTGACAGTCACAGAAACCTATAATGACAAAATAAACAGCAACTGGCAGTGACCTTTATTCTCCCATTATTTATTTTTGTCAGTATATATGAAAAGATGTATTTGATGTCTTGCAAAACTGATATTATAAATCTTATTTGTGTTACAGCGTGGTCTGGTAAGTCAAAGGAATTGCGTTTGTTTCTGCTCTGAGATCAATGTATGAGAACTTGAAAGTATTATAAACACTGGTGTCGCTGTTTTTTGTCATTTTGGTCACAACAGTCGTTATACAAACATCGTGTGAGCTACCGAATTTAGGGAAATTGAAAAAAATTGTCATTCAGAATGTTGCCAAAATCCTGAAGCTATGTATATACTTGAAAGATGGTACACTCAGTTTATTACAAGATTCTCGTGAATTGTCTCCCCTGACATCACAATATTCCCCATTGCCAGAGGTGTGCACTTTGCTAGTATGTATAAGTCATGCGCACTAAGGCATCTGTGTTCGAATCTCGCACTATGCGATTTCACATATCGTTTAAAAATATATTTGTGGCAATTGATTTCAGATTGTAGTTTTTTGTGTAATTAGTTAAAATTTCTCATTATAACTAAGATTATAAGGGCATTCCACCAGTGAAACTATTTATTTGATACAATTTCTCAATTTCAATCAAGAAGACGTAATGTGTTACGACTGGTAAGCGGCAGTGTCAATACAGCCTGGAAACAAATAGTTGCCGACCTGTGGCTTTCAAACCCTCAAGCAGTTAAAAGTGATTATCAGCCAAGATAAGCATGTGCCTTTCTGCCCTAGGTACGCTGGTATCACTACTCGATCAAACATAAGCTCCAAGGCACTTCTCCCTTATACGTGGTCGTAGAATATAATCAAATTCGCTGAGTTGTATTGTCGGCAAACTTAGTCGAAAGCCGTTTTAATTCTGAGTAACTTTGGAAAACAAAAAGTCAAATCTTAAAGTTCGCGAGATACACTGATCTAAATCAGACATATTGTGTCGCGTATCAAGTAAGTTTCTGACTTCGCCATAATAATGCAACGCCGCTTAAATTCCTTCTCGACTTCGCGTTAAACACAACTAACCTAGGGGGTACGTAATATTTGATGTCCACTTAGACCCAGTGGTAACAGGATATTGTCGTGAATGGCTTGCAGATATTGGTTGTTGATGTCTTTCTCCACCGCCATAATAATCGTATACATGATAGATGAGTGAAGGATGTACTTGATATTGCATTCATAAATCGGAAGGTTGCCCCGTAATAAAATCGATCAAGCTGTGTTCGGAAATTAAGGAACCTTTTGTGTGCATGTCTACGTAGATTCATCCACTAACTCCGCAGTGCGAGTGTAGCCTGCCAAGGAAATTAATTGTCACTTTACCACACGGCATTCGTGCGTAAACACTACATCACTCCCTAAAGCAAATTAAATATCATCTTATGGACTGTATTTTATTTTTACTCGGTTAAACGAGTATTATATTGCAATTTGAACATGAAATTCGAAAATAATCATCGACGCTCTTACAAAGTGACCGACACTAGAAAAGATGCAGGACAATTGTACTCATTGAACACATATTTTGATATGTTTCTGGTTGACAAAGAAAAAATAGTTGTTGTCTTTTATATTAATCTGAAAATATACAAAATATTGCACTAATTTATTATTTGTATGTGTGTGCGCAGTGTTTGGATGCCGAGTACCGGTAATCCAATGATTAGGTAATGACGTTATTCGCTGCTGTTTTTCACTTTGCAGTTCAAAGTGATGATAACATTATGTGAGCGTTTCAATGTATGCAGTAATTTGATGACATAGTATGTGGTATCATATAACGAACGCGTGACCGACGATATCTCAGTACATATTGTCATTTATGAAGGTAAAACATCGACGCGTGCTATCAAACTGTTGCCTATTATTTTGTTTATAGAGTCGAGTGATGATGAGAAGGTGAATATTATTATTAATGGATTTTTTTTATATAGCTCACCAGCCACGACCGCATGTAATGTATTAGGGCACGTAACTCACAAGCACTGAAAATCTTGCTCCATTTGAGTATTGTTAACTATAAACTATCGTCACTGGACACGATTTCCTGTTATTTGTTACAGAAGGAATTAAGTAATTGTATAGATGCCTGTGCAAGCAGTTGGTAAGACAAAATTGGATGAAAACGGTTAATAAATTTGAGAAATGAAGTATTCCCAATTGATACAAAATTTATGGCTTTCTGTTCATAAAATCATCGGGCTATAACTTGATTGGACACCACTTAGAGTAATTAAATGACAAGTGTCAATGTAAAGTATGACATTCCCAATTGATTATATGTTTATGACAAAAAAATACAGACAGATTACAGCTGTTGCTTCTAAGGTAGTTTCATTCAGTACCTCTACTGTGCAACTGTAGTCTGCCAAGCAAATTACATTTCAATGACTTTCGCCATAAGATATGTAACTCACAAGCACTGTAAACCATGCTCCGCACGAGTATTATTAACTGTACACTATCGTCCCTTGGACACGCTTTCCATTCATTTGATGCGAAAGTAATTTACTACATACTCCGGTACTCACACGTTTTAATACTGCATCTAATATCTGACAGACTAGTGTGCGCACGCTTTGGTTAATCAGAATGGAATGAAACGGTTGATAAATTAATAATTAATTAATTAAAAAGTATTCCCCAATTGATACTAATTTTATTGCTTAGACACCACTTAGAGTAATTGCAAATGACACTAAATTCAATATAGAGTAGGATACTCCCAATCACATGTTTATGAAAATACAGACAAAAACATGGTTACTTTAAAGCGTAACCAAACATGTTGATTTACAACAATAATAAAAAGGTGCGTGCAGCTGTGCCCAGCTATGTGGCTTTTGCTGAGAGTATTCTCTTGAACACTGTTTTGATGAACACGAAGTCATTCCCTGTTTTTGTATAAAATTGTTTTCAAAATATTATTATCAAACGGTTTTTATCACTGCATATTTGCGATATTACAATTATAGTAAGGTTACAAGAACGTCTATTTTATATTTGTATATCATGTGTTATTTATGTTCCCTACTTTTAATGTTAGTAGCTACTTACTATTGTTTTTCCAAACTGTTACCCGGGATGTCATATACGCAGCCAGTACGGATCCCTTGCATCAATTCTAGCCCATGTGTGACGTGGAATGGGATGGGTCATTGTATATAATAAGCCCGGCTTTTTCAAGCATCTGTCGGGTGGCCTAAGGAACGACGCGGCGTGATGTGTAGCTCGGTAATTCCAATCAGTATACGTGCGTCACACACAATGCACAGGTTTACTTTGATCAATATAGTATTTGTCCTGCCATGTATTCGGTGATGATTACTTGCTTAACAGACATATACACTCGTAATTGGGGCGGACGACAATTGTAAGGGGACGCGAACCCCACGACGCCACACTGACTGTCCCCCACAAAAAACGATACATCATGGATGACGAATTTTTAACTAATGCTAATACAAAAATGAAATTAATGTTTAGCTTATGTTTATGTGCTTTTTAAACAAAATATTTCATGCTATTTAGGTCGTAAGAGTTCACGATGAAATTGAAAATTTGACTTTACCGGTATGAGGTATGTCACAGCCGAGCCCCGACGACCGAGCTGTTAATTTAGTGACTGCTGGTAAAACACAATCACAATACACACAGCAAATTTTGGTCATGTCAAAGGCAATATACAAGAAAATTAAAGTTCTTACCTGTTGGATGAAAGAGACAAACGGACACATAAAATCACCAAACGGCCATTTTTCAATCACCATTTGAATTGTAGTAAACGGCATACATAGCGCTCCCATAGCCAGATCCGAGACAGCGAGGTTGATGAGAAAAGTATTGAAATTGGTTCTAACACGATTTCCGAAAGACAGAATACAGATAGCAACACTATTGCCGACAATAGTCAACACGACGGTTAGTATGAATACAAATGATGTAGCGATCCTCGAAGCTGTACTGAAAATGTTGTTGGGTATATATAACTGTGGACAATCATATGAGTACGTGTAATTGATGAGTTCATCATATGTATAGGTATAATTATAACAGATTTCGTTTGTAATGCTATCTGCGTAACTGGCATAGTACGGTAACGAACAAACAACACACAGCGAGTTGTAATAATCAGTTGTATAGTCGGTGATGTTGTTATCCATGTCTAGTTGATCGTTTTTTTTTTATCTGAGACACGCAAAGCTTTGTAGTCTTCAGATATTCGACATATAGCGTTTGATCTATGGAATAGAAGAAGTTCAATGTTAGGTTAAATACGTGTAGCCCGACTCACTATACTTAGAATCTAACACTTACCGGATACAGTTGTTCGACAACGCCGCAGAAAATATGAACATGGAATTACATGTACGAGTCTTCGAGATATGTGTCCGAATCGAAGCACAACATGAGCAGATTTTACGCAAATGTATGTAATGCTAAAATACTAGGGTATTGTTACAGTATTATATATTGAGTTTCCTGTCGTACTCATGAATATTTAGTGTTTTATAAATATTTTATACGGGCGATTAAGCATACCGTGTGAAATTTTACAGTCATTACAAGGCCGTAATACCTTGGGATTTCATCATATTTCACTTAAATTGAACAAAACAGATGACCTTCTGGCAGCACAATTATTTAGTCATAGCGTAACGTGTGACTGTGCAAACAAGTCTGGCTTATCAGGGAAACTGTTTAATCCGGGACATGCTTAGATGTGTTCATCAACTCATTTCAATTACAGTTGTAAAGGCTGAAAGTAATTGCAACAACACTTTAATATTATTACCGCCTAAACAATCCAATGCCATTCACAATAGTTGGATGACAACATAAATACAGCTTTGGAAGGGGCTAAGCGTGTACTATTGAAACCATCGACAAAAAGAACAGTAAGTTACAATAGCAGTCATTTACAGAAAACCTGATACAAATATCTTTGAATTGAATTGAATATCTTTTAAAATTGAACTTGACAATACAAACGATGTAGTCTTCTTAATGACTCCTGTTACTGAATCTTCGAGTACAAATATTGACCACATTTATATAACTATTAATGTAGTTAAATTTCTATTTTTTTCAATCTTTGAACATTATGATATTCACGTTGCTATCAAGAAAACAATTATTTATATACAGAGCTTTAGAAACGATTTAATTAAAAAGAAATGGGAGAATACATACAATAGTCAAGATGCTGACTGTGCATATAACTCTTTTTCTATGTGCCATTGGGCACGGGACATTAAGCGTTAATAGGTAAAACAAAAAACAAACAAATACTAGATGGATCACATACACAATTGATGCAAGTTGATGAGATGTGGTTCATATCCTAAGTCCAGCCAAATAAGTCACATGGCCTAGCCGCTAGAGTTTTTTGAAATTTTGTTTTGCATCTCATTTGCATAATATTTTACTAACCCACTCACTCTGAAATTCATTTTCACATTTTTTTTATCTTATTCTGCAAAGCATCATGGGAAATGTAGCAGTATGTTCCGTCTGAAATATCTCAAGCACTGTTGCAGAAAGGGACATGTAACCTCTACAGTATTGAAACTATTGGACAAGAGATGTGATTTACACACTAGATGACCATATATGGTCATGCGACCTCATATATATTCATAACTGTTCCATCTCAAGTACTGTTAAATATAGTAAAGTGCAACCAGTTCAATATTGAAGCAATTGCATAAGGGATGTGCCTAACATATCAAATAATCATATATGTAACCTCATTAATATGCATAACTGTTCTATCTCCAGCACTGTTACAGATAGGGATATGCAACTAATGCAGTAATGATGGTGTCTGATCAGAGAAATGACTCACAATTCATATGACCATATATGGTCATATGACTTTATTATGCATAGCACTGTTACAAATAGGAATAGCCAACCAGTGCAGTATGGAAGCCATTCAACAAAAGATGTGGCTAACATATCAGATGGCTTTATATGGTCAAGTGACTTCATTATCATGCATAAGTGTAATAAACTAAGGACTGTTGTAGATAGGGATATGTAACCAGTGTAATATTGAAGCTTTGACAAGAAATTAGCGTGCTAATTCCTGTTTCTCCTCATCTCCTTCGGTAATTGAAATAGCTCATGATCAGTCGGTAGAGGCTCTGCCTGTTGTGCTTGACATTTTGTGTTCGATTTTTTTCCATGGCTTCTCTTTTCAATAGTTTTTCAACAGACGTTGCATCTTGACTAAAGTTGCACAGGCAAGATGCAAGGTCTGATTTACAACAAAATATGTTACAGATATATGTGTCTAAAACATTGTCGTTTGAAGGATAAGTTATGAACAGTAACTACTTTTTGACTCATCTTTAATGTTCCAATAGTCTGCTAACCTTCGATAGCAGACGGTTTTCGTTCAGCAATTACTTGGAAAGTAGTTTCTACTAGTTTCTAGTTTTTTTGTTCTCAACAATGACTGTTTACTGGAAAAGTACTTTTACTCTCCTTTGATAGCCATATACAATGACGGAACTGTTTTTCCGAACTGGGTTGTTCTTTCGTGATTCAAGTGGATAGTACAATGTTTCACCCTTACTAGTTTTAGCAGGAACACCGTGAATTCAAACGATTTTCAGTCTATTGAAGGAGCTAAGATGGATTGTGGTTGAAAGCAACATGTAGTTTACTTTGATATGTTCATGAATCAGGTGTGATTAGTAAAGGTCATTAGCCCAACAATTGGACACTGTAATTGACACCCATACAAAAGGAGTTACGAAACATACATACACCGTTCCAACATACAACCTGTAGCGTATGAATAAAACTATATTCTGCATATAAATGACCCTTTTTTAAAATATACAAACAGGTTTACAGGAATAAACCAACGGGCTTATTTGAGAAAAACTCGTATACTGGATTTAATACTTTCACGAACGTTCATGGGGGCAGTAACATATACAATTGTATATTTTATAACTGGCTTTAGTTTGTGTGTTTTTTTAGGGGGGGGGTACTGCTACTTTATGAGAAGAGCAATCTGAAGGGTTCTGTTAGGACGTTATTATTTATTGTACAAAAGTAGCCAGACCACGAAGATGTTCTCAATGCTATGTCTGAATTTAGAATTAGATGGTATGGCCCACTTCTTTGGGGATACATGCCTTTCGTTTGCCCGAAAATTAATTCCACATAGTGATTTTCTCTGCTGGCAGTCATAATTTACTATTCTCCTTGTGTAAGTTTTGTTGGTCCATCAATACTATATATGTGTGTAGTCATATAATATATATCGTTCAACAACTAATCACTATGGATCCGTGCTCATTACACACCATTTGGAGAGGTTAGTTTTAGGATGGCTGAATGTGGCATAAATAAGAGCGCATCTGCATGCAGTGGCACGGCACTTTCCGTAATCATAAGTACAAATTCGGTGTACAGTGTTGTAAGTTATGTATCTTGACTTGTCTGCAATTGCTTCTAATTTCACACAGTGGTTATTTTTACAAGACAATCCTCTCTATGTAACCATGGTTACTAAGCTTATATATGTTTGTGTAGTTATCTATGATATGTCGTACAAACATGTCCAATATTTGGCTCTGCAATTAGCAACTCTGGAACCTTGTGAATTGCACGTTATTTGGCGTTGTTTGTTTTAGGATAGTGACTTCAAAGTGATGAGAAGTACGTCTGCCTACAATGGCAAAACGCTTGCCGTGATCTTCAAATTCCACGTTTGAATGTTTTCTCAATATTGTTTTTTCAACAATGGCAGAGCTAAGCTTCCTTCTTAATTTTAATCCTCTGTATGATAATTACTTGCACCTAATTGCCAAGAATTATTACCACTACTGCGTCAAATTAGGGAATACTGTACAGTAATGCAACGTCAAGATCAATCTTTTAAGAAATGGTCGGAAATAGTCATAGTTACAATTTCAATACCCATATTAACATATCAAGGATAATATATATATATATATATATATATATATAATGATTCATTTATTTGAACCGTATTGTTTTTGTTAAAGTGTTTCCCCCTTTCTTCGTCTGCAGTTTTTCTGTTGCTCTTGAACTTGAACGCAGCAAGTCATGAACTTCTGAAACATTATGAAATTGTGCGCTTATTGTACATAGAAACATTAGCAGTCACGTGACCATTCAGTTTCATCCCGGAAATGACAAAAGAACCTTTGAATATCTTTTTTTTCCAGAAGCACTGGACACATTGATCTGAATATTGTATTTAGTATATTTGTGTAATGTTCATTAAAATTTGCGAAACCGTTTTACTTGTAAGGTAAAGTAACAGCGACCAGAGAAAACATGCCCGGTCATGTGTATTTACATACATATGGATAAACACATCTTTGTGAGTAATAAAACAAAATCACAGTTAACATCAGTATGACATGAATTAGGTCGAAAGTATAAGAAAGTACTCAGATCTACTTCTATACTAACACTATTTTTCCCCCACAAAATAGTCTTTGATTAGTATATTCACACAAAAATCAAACAATAAAGGTATCTGACAATGTCAATGAATCAAAATTTTTGGTCTCCAACCGCATCTTCAAAATGTAATTGACTGGTCTTTGTATGGCGGACAAGAGAGAATCAATTGCAACTGTAGACGGATCTCTTATCCAATCTAATAGCGTGATCCCTGTTTGAGAAGAGCAGCGTCTACACACAAAAAATCATGAAATATAGATGATCTATTTCTTTTTCCATGGAAACTGATCAGAATCTTATCCCATCCTAAAACAATCATAAGAATAAGTGTTTAAAATAAATAACGTATATGCAATTTAGCTTTCCATGTTAACTAACCGAGTCACGATTGTTTTGAGACAATTCTGTTGAACAGCAGCATAATGAATAAAGCGAAGGTACTAGCAAAAAACACCTTCTTTTCATTAACATAAACTTCCAAGTCAGAGTGAGACCGGACAGATAAAACAGCTTTATATTCAAGTTTCCTATTTTCATTGTATTTCTAGCTGACAAAATTATGTTATTTATTGTAGCTGCTCCTGTAGTTGCTTGACACACTGACTGCGTATTATAAATGAATGTAATTGCTGAGTACCAGTAGTTTTAATAAACGTTTCAACTATTATGAAATAAACCAACATTACTTGCCTAAACTGATATGAGG